GCTGCCCCGGGAGAGACCTGTTAACACTCAATGAAACTTTATGCCACCCAAGGCATAAGCAAAGAAGACCTCTGTGCACTGGAGTAATGATTTATGTTCTATAAAGCTTGAGAGGAAATAGAAAACCAACTGACATTCTGCAGATATGTATGTGTGTGCATTGAGAGAGAAAGTGCTGGCTTTAATATGGCAAATGAACACTGCTTTGTCTGTGAAGGAGTCTAGGATTGTTCCCCTTCCCAGGACACTGCACCTGAGCAAACGTTAGGCAATTATAAGATTCAGTAGGAAACTTTGGCTAATGCAGTAAGGGAGATCCCACCCACATTTCAACAACTAACAAGGACTATTTGTTATGGACTGAATTTTCACTAGTGCTTAGTGGCCTTGAAAAGCAAAAGACATCGTTCCCATCCAGATTCCCAACATAATGGCTTTAAACATCATGCCATAAACATCATGCGTGATGTCCCCTGCCTCCAGATGTCTTGGAGTACAATCCCCATGATGCTTTGCCAGCATGGATGGCTACATGTGTTGCATCAACAACAAAATACAAGAGTAACAGAATAAAGAGACAACGTGGTAGCTAGTTAAAAACCAGCCTGATGCCCAACTCTCTTCTTCAGAAGGAACATTTTATCAACTTGTGAAAGGTACTGGAGAACAAAACGCCAAAACCAGGACAGATCTTCACAAAAAGCATTTCTCCCCTCCCAGTTAAGCATATATTCATCACAGGTGGGGCTATGAAGATTATTTAAAGCAGTCTGATAACAGGAAGGTATCAGATAACTGGTCCTTACTCACACCAGCAAAAGAAGTCTGTTTCTTCTCTTAGGATATTTAAAGCAGTCTGATAACAGGAAGGTAGTCCTTACTCATACCAGCAAAAGAAGTATGTTTCTTCTCTTAGGCATATTTGTATGGAAACATTTGTCAGCTCTTTGATATGTCAATCTTAGACTGTTAATTTTCCGTAGATGATACCTCTTTGGAAAACACTCTTTGGAAAACACTTTTCTACCTGCACTTTCTTCCCCACACTACTGTTTCCCCACTCTATTATTTCCACCCTTTTCTAATGTACCACATTAAATGGTAAAAGGAGAAAGACAGTTATAGTTTCCACTGGCTATATATGTTGTTATGTGTGGGGTTTTAAGTTTTCACCTGTAAACCACCCAGAGTAGTGTTTGCATCAATGGGGCGATAGATCACTCACTTACTCACATTTAAAATTACAGCCTGAGCAGCAATCCTATGGAGAAACACAGCATGCACAGTTATCCCATGTTGATCTTGAAACCAAAGGTTCCTTTTTAAAATCAATGCTGACAACATTGTTCTGAGTAACAAGTGGTAATAGTGCTACAAGCACTCTCCGGGCGGTTTACAATTTTTTAATTATACAGGCTACACACTGCCCCCCCCAGCAAGCTGGGTACTCATTTTACCGACCTCGGAAGGATGGAAGGCTGAGTCAACCTTGAGCCGGCTACCTGGGATTTGAACCCCAGGTCGTGAGCACAGTTTTAGCTGCAGTACAGCATTTTAACCACTGCGCCACGAGGCTTTAAAATCAACGCTGACAACATTGTTTTGAGTAACAAGTGGTATTACTTGTTCTTTTGAAATTTATTTGGGTGATTGCTTGTGCATTGGGGATGAGGGGGGCATTAATTTTTTTTAAATTTTTTTTTAAAAAATTACAAATAACATGTCAGTCACAAGTAACATTACATTAAATTTATAAAAAAAGTAAAGACATGTGAAATCAACAAGTTAATTTCACTTAAAAGTACTGCTAACTCAAACTTGCTAGCATTAAAAAGAACCTTTGTAAGTTCTATGTAAGGTGAGGTGATACTGTTTCAAAAATCAACTTTTTGGGCTACTGAATGGCAAACACCTATTGAGTATTAATAACAAATTGGTATTCTTCTCTTTGGATTTACGAGAATTAATGTAGCTGCCTCTCATAAACCCAGATGCAATGGAAGACAAGGCCTTAAAGTGATGGCACAAATATTACAGTGTTTGCTGCCCTCTTGTGGAAAATATTTTACTGGGCAGCTTTTACAACTGTAAGATAGGCTTAAGAACCAGAGTTGGGTAGTAATACATCTGTATAATAATAATGGAGTACCTTCAAGTAGACTCTTAGTCATGGCATCCCTCCCAGGTTTTCTAGACAATCAAGTACTCACAAACAGTTTACGAGGCCCTCCTTCTGATGGTGCTCTGGGACTGTGCAGATTGTCCAAGGCCGCACATGTAGCAAGGTATGCAACCCCAACAGGTGCGTATACTTTGGGTGATTTTGGCTGGCCCTCTCCAGGATGGCTGGGGTAGTTCCAGCTCCTGGTCCCTAGCTCCACAGGTAGTCCAACTAACCAAACTGTACCAACCTGGAGAAAATGAATCCACCAATCCTACTTCTTATTGGTATTTGGAGGCTCAATTATCTTTACAGTTACACCAAAATACATTACAAAGTAGCTTCATGGAGAAGAGTGACAAATTGGTTTAAATACTGCAGTTCAGTATAGAATAAGGAGAGAAATCCTGGAGAAGTGGTTTTTTACCTGTCAGAGATATGTTGTTATTGATGGGTTTTAAAATCTGTTTTTATCTTTTGGTTAAACCTTGTTTTTATATGGGGCTTCTTAAAGCTACTTTTAATGTCATTTTTGTCAGGAAGGTAGGATAATAAACAAATACAACTGTGAGATTCATTTTGTTTGCTATAGTCTCTTTATTTTAAAGTTAACATTCAAGGCCAGAGATAGCCATCTCAAGATGAGATTGCAAATCCAACAATATCAACATGAAGCTGTGTTAAATGAGGTCCTACTGTATTGACTAATTGAACTTTTTATTATGCGACAAAGAGTTCTAGTTAAGCTGCTATAGGGAGCAGACAGTTATACTGAGTTCATTTCATTTATGAATGAGTTATTAAATGCTTTCTCCTCTACAGATCCCTGGGGAACATTCCATGTTTAAATCTAGCCATTAGGAGGGAGAAGTGGTTTTTTACCTGTCAGAGATACGTTATTGATGGGTTTTAAAATATGTTTTTTTCTTTTGGTTAAACCTTGTTTTTATATGTTATTAAATGATTTCTCTTCTACAGATCCCTGGGGAACATTCCATATTTAAATCCACCCAATAGGATAACTGCCTATTTTTCTACTTTTGCTCGCTGTTCTTTTATCAATTCCCACTCCATAAGAGGACATCTTCTCTTATCCCTTAACTATTGTGTTTGCTATGAGGTCTTGGCAAGGGACTACAGCAAGAATTAACACCAGCAGAATGAAATGTCCCCCCCTGTGCAGTTCTGCCTGATCTCCTGGCTTCTTGTTGCACAAGCAGAAACTATCTTGGAACAGAGCTTTCATTTGTACAAAGAGACATTGGCTAATTCCATGCACAAGTGCCAAAAATCTCAAATTGTTCCACAACCAGTCCAATGAAAACTGCATTTTAATCCACTATTAATCAGACTGCTTTCCTTTAAAAAAGTAAACAGAACTACATTTGCAAGCATCTCTTATTACAGAAGCACAAATAATGCTTTAGTTTTCATATGTATGACATATTGCTGCTCATAACCTTTCACCTTACGTTCTTTTCTCTCATTGCTAACATGCTTTCCTAGACACAGATGGATGATATAAGTCTTAACATTTTATTCACAACACTCATAGTACTACTTAAAGCAATCTTTTCCTGTAAAATTTCAGAACTATATCTCAAGTGTCTTTTAGACATTCAATACCAGCAATATTCCAGAAACTGTTCCTACCTCCAGAGTGTTGAGAGAAAGGGGCAAGAAGAGAAGCAAGCATTTTCAACCACCATGAACTACAGTGCAGTAATTGGAGGCAAATATTTTGGATACCAGGTGGCAAGAGAGAAAAAGAAATCCCTTAAAGCTATATTTTATACACAAATCCTCTTAAAAAGATGAGACATTTACTTTAATCCTGCTGTTGAGAACCTGTTGAAAGGTGGGGAATAAACACCTCACAATAAACAAACAATGCACTGGGCAAAATCCTGTTGCATAAAGGTACACCAAGTAAACCAGGTTCTGCCCCAGTAATATTTAATTTAAATTGACTGAAGCCTTCTATTACACTTCCCCTTTCTGAGGCTCCTTAGGGCTCTCTTTTGCCCTGTGGAAGCTTCCGGATGGAGGGGAACTTTTAGTCATAAAATACTGTTACTAGATTCCTAATCATCATGCTGATCAGGAATGATTTTTCACCCCTAGATAGTATTACAAGGATACGGAAGTGTTTGGAGTTTTACCCTATTCAAGCTGAGTGAAAAATTCACCACTACTGCAACCTGTGACAATGTACAAGAAAGCAGTAAGTTTAATGCCTTCCCCACACTCTGCAGTGTCATTTTAAACCTTTCAGACTTTTCACCACAATATAACCAAAATGTTCCTTATTTTTCTTCAAATTCTTTCCAGAAAATCAATATGGCTTTAATTCTAACCAACAGGAAGAAATAATAGATTTAAGATAGGAAATGAATAATACCCAGAGAAGATAAACTTGCTTAGGCTCTCAGCTAAGGACTAATTCCATAGAATGCTTAGGAGAAATGTGATAAACTTGCTTAGGCTCTCAGCTAAGGAAGGTCCCACTTATTGATCAAAGAATATGAGGAAAACCTAGTTAACAGGCATTACAGCAAATTTGCTGAAACTGAGCACAAACATCTACAGTCTTAGTCTTGTGACTAATTCCATAGGATGCTTAGGAGAAATACCACAGTGAAGGCCTAGTGCTGTGACAAAACTCCCTTTCCCCCAGGACTTGTGAACAATGGATGGGGTGCTTATAATACGATTGCCTATAATACCAGTGCCTATAATACGATTGCTCTTCTGAGAACATGGCTTGCTGTCAGTGAGTGAGGCTGAACTCGGGTCTGAAGAGATGGCAAGTGAAAGAACAGTGTTTTTAGAGGCACAGTATACAAAAATGGTTCAATATTTATTCATGCCATGTAAAGAAATTAGTGAGACATGTTTTTCTTTCTAAAGTGGAACTTTCCTGATCAAGTGGACATTATTTAGCCTTTCAGAACTGGAAAAGAGAAAAAACTATTTAGGTATTACAATCACCGCTTATATTTGCCTTCTTTTACATTGGGGAGCGATTATTTCAGTTCAGTCCACGACAAGGATCTTTTCCTGCAGGGAGGCTTAAGGGAAAGGATCCTCAGCAGATATTGTTCACATTTGATACAGATGTCCATAAAAGGCCAGTCCATCATGCTTTTTGTGTGACAGACCAGGGGTGGAGGTGAACAGTGGGGTTCAAACACAAGAGGGATTCTGGAATCAAAGGAAAATTCAGATTATTTCTAAACGTTTCTTGAAACCCTGGTTCTTGCTCAAATACCACAAAAGGATCATTGTAGAAAAGTATAGTTTGTAAAGTGCAATGTAACCAAACAAATGCTTAAAGAGGAAATACAGTTAGGCCTCCTGATATAAACAGAAAGGACAAAGCAATGGCAAAGTTGAGCTCTTACTGGAGGGGAAGAATGGAAGAAACAATGCTTTAATCTGATGGTACATATGCGTTTGCCTTATCACTGAAAAGTTGAGCAAAACTAAAGATCTCTAATTAAATCAGTCTTTCCCCAAAGCTGCAGAGAAATTAGACCATCAGATAACAATTCTTAGGTGGAAGGCCAAAAATACTTCACACAGTATGAAAAGATTTGGAGAGAGAAAGAGAGAGTTGGAGCAGGAAGAGAGAAACAAGAAGCATGCATAGACAGTTCAAGTTTTACTAAGTGGCAGACTCTTACTTTGATGGAACCCAGTTTTCTGTTTCATGTAGTAGCTGCTCAATTTTCTGATCCTTCAGGGCCATGTCTTCTCTGCCAAACTGCACCGCTACAAATAAGTTAAGTGGAAGCCGTACACAGGGTCTTACTGGCATAGACATCTAAAGAAGAATGCCATAAAATTCAAGTCATCAAAAGAATCTTTTACACCTTGGGTGAAAAGCCTGTGACCCTCCAAATGCTGCAGGATTAGAGCTCCATTATCCCCAGTCAGCACAGCCAATGGTCAGGAAGATGAGGAACTGGAGTCTAGCAGTATTTGAACAGGTGTTGGTTCTACAGAACATTTATAGTCTTTTATGGGGGAAAACTCATTCTATAAGAATGGCATGTAGTTTAAGATGAAAGTTTGAGGTTTTGTTTGTTTTTTTGTTTTGTTTTTTTAAACATACACCTGTGTAGACAGAGACTCATGAACAGAGTGAAAAAGGAATCAGACATTGTCAAAAGGAAGGAGGAGGTCAGGAAGGAATGTGAGAAGTAAATTGCTAAAGATTTTAAGGCCTTCTGAAGTAATCCATTACAGATATTCACAGTAGGGCTTTCAAAACAGTGTTTTCAAAAATTGTTTGATAGGTTTAAGTAAAGGTTCCTAAACAAAACTTTGCACTTATGGCGTAAGAGAGTATAAGAATATTCTTGAGTAAGATAATAAGACACATCCAAATTATTTTAAAAGAAGATAACTTACTTTGGTACAGCAATCTGTGCAGATCACTCTAAAAATAAAATTTAAAATCCACACATCAGTTGCAGTGATATCCTTTGCATGAATGAAGAGATAGCACCTCCTCCAGATAGCTTATAACTTACAGGAGTGACAGATTTGTGTGTATTTTTCTGGATTCTGATCAATTTCAGATATCACTGAAATGTAATCAACGTGCCGTTATTCATCACAAATGTAGAAAGGGGGAAACAGCATGCACGCTCATTATGCTGTATCTCAAAAAAGGAAGATGGTACATCTGGGTGGTAGATGGTACATGTGTACTGCACATGTACGAGAGACGTAGAGTTTATGGTAGGAAACAGTTAAATAGACTTTCATAATGTACATTGTGGTAAATAATATCTGTTTACCAAATGGTATCACTAAGAGCTTCTTAAACAGAAGGTACTATCCGTAAGAATTAATGCAGAGGAACAATTTTGAAATCAAACAATAATCAGTCTTATTTCAGAACATAGCAGGGAAAAGACATGAACAATATGACGTTATGTGAAATGATGTGAATAAATTCAGTATTGAATGCAAAAATCAAAGCTTGAGAATGCAGGTGAAGACTGATCATTTTCAGAGCTGTACAGCCACTCTGGAACTATTCTCATAGCATTCATCTTGGTTTAAATGTGCCTTTCATTCCAAGGACTGAGATCTGAACAAGCTATTTTGTAAACAAGAAATAGAAGCTAACCCTGCAATGTGCTGATTGGCTGTTATCTCCATCTTGTTCCCAAAGTTTCTCTTTTTAGATCCCTGCAGTGGTTCTGCCTATTTAATATACATTGTGTACATGGCCCTGCAGCATTTCAACAGATACAGACCACACCTCTGAATCTTGGGATGAGGGGGGCAGAATCGTAGCTGAGCCAGCATTTGATTTGCTGATAAGTATATCTAAAATCTCAGTTACAAGTTTTCAAGAAGGCCAACTTACCTTCTAGCTGAAGGATACAATTGGTCATACTAGCAAGTTCACACATCTCTTAGATGCAAGGTAAACCTGGCCTCCTTGAAGATTCACAACTGAAACAAAACCTCTACCATACATAACATGAGAGACACAGAGAAGATGATTTTCTTCTTTGTGGCAGGTGCTTCAAAGAAGAAAGATTAAAGCATTTTTTTCAATAGCAGGATTTAATATTCAGAAGTATTCAGAAGGATTTAATATTCACAAGTTAACAGCCAATGTCCACTGCATTTTCATTTTGTTTACTGCCACATCAAGAGCTTCAACTTACTAGATGCGTTATATTTTTAAAAATTTCCTGTGAATGAACTGTTGAGTGTTGGGTTAACACACCTTCTCCAATAAGCTTTAGGCGACCAAAAATGAAGGGCACTATGGAGTAGCTTTACAAAAAGCAACTTATGTTAACTTCATCTCTTATCCCTCTACGTTCTTGAGTTGTGTGAACATCACCAAACAAACTCAAGGCAACTTATTCTAGGGACAGATTCCTATCAGGAGTAGCTCTTGAGACACAGCTGATTTTCAGATGCAGGCTCACCTGTGGTGAAAGGTGATGTTGAACTGTGCACAGATTGGAATATGTGTAAGGATTTGTCCCCATGTCAGCAAAAACATAATAAAATTATACCTGCCATTCATAATGCACTGGATGGCCACTGATATTACAGGGCTTCCCTTTGCTCTAATCCTCCTTACACGACACAGACATATTAGCCCTCAAGTCTGTTCCTAGGGGTTCATCTTGTCAGAGATTGGATAGGTTTCTTTTTTGTACTACAACTCACAGAACCTCCTGGGCAGCAGGGCACTGGGGGTTTTGTTGCACATACCTACACAAACCTCCCTAAGTTCTGGTCATACTTTTGAGATGAGATTTGGCAGGATACTTCAGGAAGAATGGGGAATTTGTTCACCTAGTGGTTTCTGCTCTCCTAGCAAACCGTACTGGATGTATCTCAAGCAAGTCTATCCTAGATGCAAGGTTGGATAATAGGACTTAGTCATACGAAGCCATGTAGTAAGCTTACCTGCTGCACAGATGGCATACATAAGGCCATATAAAGTAGGGGTTATGGCAAATGAGACAAACCTATAAAAGCAAGAGAAAAGAGTTACAAGTTACAAAGAGAGAGAAAAAGTTATGAATTCCAATGGCTAAATTACAGTTTCTGAAATCCAGGAGTGAGTTGCAACTAGAATAGGTCCACTGAAGCTTACCAAATCCCCACTGATTCAATGGGACTACTCTGGTTGCACTTTATTACTCGATTTCAGCCAAATATGATTTTTTAACACACACACACTGCCCCAGTAAACTTCATATTTTGGAGCCATCTGGAAAGTGAATAAGTATCATTGCCTCTCTTGAGTTTGATTCTTCTTTCAAGTCAAAGGTTAGAGGCTCACAACAACATTCCCTACATTTGAAAGTATTGCTAAGGAGGAAAAAAAAACATTGTTGGAATGGAAATATTTCAGAAAATGGAAGTTAACAGTCATAAATGATATGCACCAGATTTAAAACAGTCATGTGGTCGTGTGTGTGTGAGACAGAGAGAGAGAGGGAGGGAGGACAAGCATATATAGTCATAAATGATATGCACCAGATTTAAAAACAGTCATGTGGTCGTGTGTGTGTGGGAGAGAGAGAGAGAGAAAGAGAGAGAGAGGGAGGACAAGCATATAAGGCTGAAACTAGGTAATACAGTTAGCATATCATTAGAACGGGAGCTCCCTAAACTAATAAGAGATGTCTGGCTCTCTATATGAGCTTGCCCCTCTCCACATCAGTTTCCATTTGGTTTTAATTGACCATCAAGAGGGAAACATGGATTTCATTAGCAAGTCTGACTGTACATTTCAAGAACTGTTCCTTTGTTCCTATCATGTCTTGCTTAGATCCTTGTTCTGTGAGGGGGGTGACAAATTGTAGCAGAAAATACACATTTTTAAAAAGATACCTAAGTAGCCTTACAAAAGGAAACATATATACTGAGCTCTGATACTCTTGTCTGGTGTTTTTAGTAAGTATTTTAAGCAACCAATCAACTTGCTCTACTTCATATGAATCTATACCTGGGCCCTTGAAGATACATTCCAAATGTCTTTTTGGCAGCAATCCTTTATTTCTGAGCATCTTGTTCCCATCAAATCTGCAATTGTTGGCAATGACCATCTCATAGACGACTTCTGGGATGACAAATTTTAGTTTTAATTTTAGTAATTTACAGTATAGAAATACAGGCAAACTCAAGATGCAAATACAAAAAGACACATTTCCCCATATTGGTGTCCAGAATCAGAAGATCAAAACCCAGAAGCAATGCACCCCAATAAGACAGACATTGTAGGGTTTCTGAAAAGACTTTGTTTTTCCTGTTATCAGGAAATATAATAAGCTTTTTTTCCTGTCTAATATACGGACAGAAAACAAAGCAAAGCAAAGTGTTCTGCTTATAAACTGCCCCATGGGCTTAAATCACTCTTTAGGCAATTTACAATTGAATTGTGCAGGCTGCACATTGCTCCCACCCCACCCCAACTCCACCAGTGAGCTGAGTACTCATTTTACTGACTTTGGAAGGATGGAAGGCTGAGCCAATGTTAAGCCAGCTGCCAGAATCTGCTGGGATCGAATGTTGACTGTGAGCAGAGTTTTGACTGTTACTATAGTTTAACTGTCAAATTGGGAGAGGCCGTGATGCACCGCCTGCTGAACACTCGGATGTCAGGGTTTCCCATCTGTTGAGGTCCATTCCTAAGGCCTTCAGATCCCGCTTGTAGATATCCTTGTATCGCAGCTGTGGTCTCCTTCTGGGGCGATTTCCCTGCACTAATTCTCCATACAGGAGATCCTTTGGGACCCGACCATCAGGTTATGTAGGTTTCTGAAACAGTGCAAAACCTGAAGAAGTTATTTAACCGTGAGACTGAGATATTAGGATGACTTCTCAGACTGTGATCATTCATCATTATTTCATCTTTCTGGGGGGGGGGGAATGTCAGCGGCC